GAGCCTCCTCCAGCACCACAGTTCAAAGGCATCAATTCAAAGGCATCAATTCTTCGGCGGTCTGCTTTCTTTATGGTCCAGCTCTCACTTCCATACATCACATCAGGAAAAACCATAGCTTTGACTATTCGGACTTTTGTTGGCAAGGTAATGTCTCTGCTTTTTAAGATGCTGTCAAGATTTGTCATCGTTTTCCTCCCAAGAAGCAGGTGTCTTTTAATTTCATGGCTGCTGTCTCCATCTGCAGTGATCATGGAGCCCAGGCAGATAAAATCTGTCATTGCCTCCATATCTTCCCCTTCTATTTCCCAGGAGGGGATGCGACCAGTGGCCTTGATCTTAGTTTTTTTGATGTTGAGTTTCAGACCGTTTTTTTCCCCTTTTCTCTTTCACCCTTATTACAAGGTTCTTTAATTCCTCCTCACTTTCTGCCATCAGAGTGGTATCATCTGCATATCGGAGGTTGTTGATATTTCTTCCAGCAATCTTAATTCATCGTAATTCCATCCTCATGTAAAACAGGTAGATCACCATTGCTACCTTCAAAATTAGACCCAATACCACTCCATCCAAAATAGGTTACTTCAGAATAGAGATGGGCACGAACTGGCTCATCTCAGTTCATCAAGGTGGCAGAACAGGTGCTGCTGCTGCTTCCCTCCCTTGCCTCCTCTGACTCAAACAGCCATTCCCCAGGACCAGACTCTGTGATCTTCAACTGATTTTCTAGTCCTGCCAACAGCTCTGGCTTCTCTGTCCTGCTTTCCTAGCTGATCTCCCACTCAGACAAAAGCGGGGGCAGAGAAGTCTGTGCTCTTTCTCGTGACTGGGAAATTAGCCAAGGAGGTGGAAAAACCCAAGAAAGCTGAGCTTGATGAGTGGCTGTTTGAGCCAGAGGAGCCAGGGAGGGAAGCAAGCTGGGACAAATGGGGACAAACCAGTTCGTGCCCATCTCTATTTCAGAATGTCCTTCCTTAGTCATTCATTTCCCCCAAAACCTTCATGTTGCAATTGCTGCGATTGCTCGCAAGGCATCGCCTTTGGCCGAAGAAAGCTATCCACCCAGGATAGAGCAAGACTCCATTTAAGTCTCACAAGATGTTGTGCAAGAGATGGGAAAGCCCTGGGTATTTAAGTGGCTTCCCCCCATGCACTGCCCTCTTCCTTTTTTGGGCTCCCACCCACACTCCCTTTTTCTAGTGTGAATTTGTCTGGTTGACTTTTAGGGGCTGCATAGGAATTTTTGAACCTCATCCTGATTGGCTTATGGATGGGGGGATTTTTTTTTGCCTATCCCACACTGGATAGGGCTTGTTGGCATTTTGGTGGTTTAATTTTGGTCACACAGGCAGGTAGTGCGGAAATAACAGGCATTTTCGGTGTGTCCCAATTGTAATCTCTGTTAAGCCAACAGC